AGGAAACCCAGTGCCTGTGAAATTAACTGGGCCACCCTGTTCCTGAAGCATATAAATACGGGGACCTGGCCTTCCAGGTTAGGGGAGTCTCGAAACTGAGAAAGTAAAATGTAGTAATGAGTCCCACGGGACTCGGACCTGAGAATTACTGCGCTGGTGAGAGCCAGCAGCAATTGTAAACGACAAACCCATCCTCTCGTCAGAGAGGACGTTACATAAGGATCATGAAAGCAAGTGTTCAGTTGCAAAAAATAAAAATTCTGGTCGTTGGCCTCAAGAGGCTTGACTCCAAGAGGAAATGATTGGCAGTAAACCGCTAGTCGTAAAGTAAGTCTGACTCTGATCCTGACCCTGACCCTGGCTCTGACTCTGATCCTGACTCTGAGTTAGTGTAGTGCAGTGGAGTAGAGCATGCTGGTTGGTGAGTGAGTGAGTGAGTGAGATAGTTAATGACTGCTGCGCTGACGCTAGTAGCCAAGGCACGGGAACAGTTCGGGAAGTAAGAGAAAAGGGAAAGTCCGCCGTTGGAAGCCGTTAGCAGGCGACGACAGGTGAAGAACTAGTACGTACTGTAGTGGAGTGCTGAGTGTGTAAATTAGCGATATCGCTATAGTTCCTTGTAGTTATGATCTGTAAGTGTTCAATAAATCGAATTACCAATCCAAACCCCGTCTATAGTCATTCATACACGTGACAAAGTTGTCAATAAGTGACTCATAGCTAAATCATAGACTTTCTTGAAGCCTATCAATAGTTAATTTTGTATGACGATAATGACTGCACAATGCCTCAATAAGTAGTACAGTCGGAGAAGTAATTCGTTCACAGATTCAAAATGTTGTGGGAATCTGCAAGCAGATCTCGGTTCACATTATTTATTAAGTTAATTGTAAGTTGGTAACCCTTCTTAAATTAATTTATAACTATATATACTTGATATTCCTGTGAACCGATACTACTCCCGTCTTCACGCTACCACCTACATCCATCGTGAAGTCGGGAGCAGTTCATCGTCCCAGGCTCTCGCGTCGTCTTTACAATACTCCCTAAGGTCGTCGCAGGGAATCCAAGTTCGCAGCGGAGGGCCTTACTGAAGTTAATGACTGACCAAATAATAATAACAAGATTTAATAAACACAAACACAATATAACTCACTGCAAGAATATACAAAATATATAACCCAATAGACATGGCTGATATGCCCTACTGATTAGCACTTCGCGGCATCAACCCAGCGACATGCCCAGTTCCACTGACCCACATACATTATGTACGGAAGTCACTTCCTGATCGGCCACAGGCGGCCGAAAGGAAAATAAGTATATCCAACAAAACAAGTCAGCCACAGGCGGCCCCAAAGAAGATATATGCCGTATTTACTCATGTATAGGCCGCACATTTTTTGCCAAAAATTCAAGAGGAAAACTGGGGTGCGGCTTATATTCGAAATCACACTTCATTTAAAAAAATATATATTCATAATTAGTAATACAGGGTGTTCTACTCCTGAAATAATATTCCAAGAAAATTATTTTTTCTATAATTTCTGTCTGAAAATTGTGCTGCGGCCTAAACACGCACGCGGCCTATACATGCGTAAATACGGTATATAACTAACTAAACAAATCGGCCACAGGCGGCCCCAAGAAAAATATATACATAAAATGATAACTAAAACTCTCGCGTATCGCCGCCATACTTATTCCCTGATAGCTGGCGACTGCAAGTAACCCCGACGTCTCCGGCCAGCCCCCGACTAGGCCGAGACCAGATTTAGAAAAAACCCCGCTGAACTGAAATTTAGAAATTACTCCGGCAGGTCCGCCAGACCTCCTCGTCCAAGTGGATCCACTTACCTATCAGACTAACTCCTCCGCTCCCAAACATACTTATTTCCGTGACACAGGGGTAGAAAGGGTGGGAAAATCACGTGGTATTGGGGAAGAGGAGTAGGGGGTAAGTTCTAGGACCTCGGGCGAAGGGTAGCGTGGGAGATATGGCTGGAAGCCATTACGTCACGGAAGGAGCCATTGCTTTAGCACGGCTCAACTGTTCTTACTGCATATTGTGAGTTCATTAACTTTTGTCTGTCAGATGTCCATTGTTCTTGTTCCTGAAATGTCTGTTAGTGTCACGTCTTATATTGTTCAGATTATCTTAAATTATTTTGCTCTCACTCTGTAACCATTTTAAGCAAACTCGGTAACATGCCATGAAGGCCCATAGGGTTGTGAGACGTCGAGGCACGCACATCTTCTAGAAAATCGGCACACAGATGGCGGTGAGGTTGTCAGCCTTACGCGCCGGCCACTCTTTACCCTCAGGAAGATTCCTGGTACTCATTTACGTTAGAGATTGAGTCGAACCCAGGGCCACAGTGCGGCTGGAAGAATTAGGTTAATTGAAAAATCCGATGACCTAATCAGGAATCAAACCCACGACCTTCCGCCTTATAGTATAGTGCCTCAACCAAATAAGTTACAGTGTGTCCCTTGTAGTCATTCTAGTTTGGCTTGTTTCTTCTAATTAGTACTCGTAGTTTTGAACGCTCTTCGCTGAACCTTGTCTAATGCTGTTTCAGTTTGAAATAACCTCCAGCTAAACTTAGGGTATACGTTGCTACATCTTTTGCAACTCTTCTCAGCGAACCTGCCCTGTAAGAAATCTTTGCATTCCATGTGCAAAACCTCATGTATATATTCCATTGCTTATGCCCTTCCGAAGAATCCATCCAAGGTCGTTTGTAACATTTCATAACAAGTACTCTTTTTAAGGTGAGGAATTAGCGGCTTCCGTAGTTTAGGGGTAACGTTCCCACCTCATGACTCAAGGTACGCGGGTTTAAACCCGGCGGAGTTCGTGGAACAAGTCCTTCGGGAGGGACTTTAAACCGTGGGTCCCGTGTCGTAGATTTACGGCACGTAAAAGAACCTCATATCTCTAGGAGACCTCTGAGCTAAATTAGGCAAATTTTCCCGCCCAGGTAGTTTCCAATGCCTCCGGTAGATGGGGAAAGTATTAGGTACCACTGCCAGATGAGGACCGACCTCGCTGACAGAAAGGGACTAATTATCAGATACCACTGCCAGTAGAGGGCCGACGTCGCTGGCAGAAAGGGGCTGATAACGGGCACCAGTACCAGTAGGGTATGGAGACAGTAGAAATTAAAGGGGGATTCAAAATGGACCAATAACTGGTTAAAGTGCATGGGGAAACCCATCTCCTCCAACAATGAATGAATGAATGAATGAATGAATGAAGGTGAGGAGTTATTAGCGTCACGCCCAACCCCCAAGCTGGATGGCAAAGCCTTTAAGAGTGTCCGCGACTACTTTTTCGGTATACACGCATTCACAGTTACTCTCCATACCTGAACGCTCTTTCCTCCATCCGCAACCTGAGGACGCGCCATGCGGTCACGTTTGTTTAGTTGGTGGGATAGGGCTACTGAATTAGGGCTTTACGTAAAGCCACATAAACCTTGAACCAGTCACTGTCTGATTCCGCATTAATTCTATCGAAATACATTGACAATGCGTGGTTGGAAATTTGTAACCTGGTTGCCCTATGTTTGATGAATTGCATACAACCTCTTCGACAGTTTGAAAGATTTAAATCATTGAAACAATTCTGTTTTCTTGCTGTGGTATGTTAAACGTTAAAAGTTTCAGGAGGATATCAGTCACAAAACATATTTTCTTTGAATGAAGTGTATATAACGAAGTTAAAATTAGAATTTCCTGTCTCTTTCATTAATTTCCGAAGAGCTCGAAGGATTTAAAGGAAATTTAGTTTAATATCTGCATTCGAAGTTGTCGACTGATTATTTTTTTCGCACCGGCTCAACGAAACTTCACTTTATGAAGCTGAACTTGAAATACGAGCACATAAGTTTTAACGGATTATTGGAAAATAATTGGTTCTTTGAGAAAATATAAAATTTATTAAGTTAAATTTTTTATTTTATAATAACTCAGGCCTAGAGTTACAGCAACAAATGGAAATATTTCGTATGTTTCCTCACTCTGTGTTATCATCAGCGTAAACAACTTTGTAACAAGAGACTTAAATCTCCAATTGAAGAATTCCAAGGCTGGTGGTTTGAACAACAGATGAAAAAGAAATTGGAAAAATATATGCCTTCCAAACTGGAGTATGTTTCCACTTCTACTTAAACCCTTCTCAACCTTGTATCTCACATTCCAGTATTTCACAGACCTTTGAATATTCTTAGTAAGAGACCAAGTCACAAAACAGCGAATAATACCATTATTTAGTTTTCCATTATATAAAATAAAAGGCCGATCACGGTAGCTGAGTGATGTAAGGATGCAATGTCTTCGGTCGCCCGGAAGCCGAGATCGTGGGTTCGAATCCCACACAAGGCATGGATGTCTGGTGTGTGTATGCGTTTTTCTGTGTTCGTGTTGTCCTGTGTTTATGTAGAGGCCTTGCGATGAGCTGATCACTCGTCCAAGGAGCCCTACCGTCTGTGAAATTATTAAAAGAATGAAACAAAATCTCGACACCAGTATTGGGGTATAAGAGGAACGGATGAAAACATAAAAGTACACAACAAAAGCGCTGTATCGGCAAGATGTGACAAAAGGGGTGAAAATGTTCGATGGTTTCTTGTCTCTGTACTGACCTGACGTGGATTCTTCAACTACCACACAGTCAAGAGATGCTCAGTGCAGTACAGCAAATTCGTATACGTCCACGTGGAATAGACGGCAACAAACACTGACGAGACGCGACGCTTTGTCACTACATCCAAACAGTGGGACGAGCGTCCCTAAACTATTATGAGGTCCATCGCCGCGGTGCGCCATCAGCTGACACTCGCGCATGCGTTCTCTAGAGCCGACCAGCTGATATAAGTATTCACGTCCCGTGATTCATGGATTACTACGTTAGTTAAAGTTGCTTTTCCAAATCAGAAGTTATGAACCGTTGAATGAGAAAGGTTTATAGGGAATTGAGCATCAGAAGCCAGCTGCTAACGTACGTTCAAATTTATCGGGAGAACATTTGAGTTTTGAGTCCCATTTTTATGCAATTTGCAATTAAAGTTTGTTTCTAGTAGGTAAGTACTTTTTGTTCCACCATGTTTCTACACATGCTACAATTTATTTTTAATTTATTTGTCAGGGCCGTGCTATAGCTCAAGCGGTTAGTCGCTGGCTTCCCATCGCGGCGGCCCGGGTTCGATCCCGTGTCTGGTCAAGTGGGATTTGTGGTGGACAAAGTGGTGTTGGGGTAGGTTTTCTCTAAGTACTTCGGTTTCCACTGCCAATCTTCATTCCACCAATTGCTCCACAATCACCCTCACCTATCATCTGGGGCTGGCACAATAGGCTAGAAGTGGCCGCAGTACAAGGAACTTAGTCCCACCCCACTAGCATTAAAAAAATTATTTGTTGAGTTTAGTATTTAAAGAAGAGCCGTTAGCTAAGATTACACAGTGTCAAACGATGGGATGCTCAGTAAATGAATTGAAAAGTACATGGAAGAACGAGGTAGCGACATAATTCGATTAAACTCTCATTGATCGAATTAATTTCCAATTGTTTCAATGTGTACTGTGAAAGTTATTATAATGAAGGGTTAAATTGCTCTATGAGGATTCGTTTCATCTTGTCTTTTGTTTCGCCTGTCTAACTATACCATTTTTCCCTGACAGATTAAAGGAAAAAAATAGAATCCCTAGTCTAGAAGGTGGGTCTTCGGGTCAATATCTAATCCAGGCAACACTTGAAGAGGAGGCATGTTTTCGCTCGCTCGAACGCTGTGATCGTGGGTTCGAATCCAACTCAAGGCATGCATGTCTGTTTACGATTATTCTGTGTTTGTGATGCTGTGTGTGTAGGTTGCGGACTTGCGACGGGCTGATCTCCTGTCCTACGGATTTTACCGTCTGTGTAAGATTAAAAAACTGAAAGAGAGGTCAAGATCCAACGAAAGGGCTCTAGAGGCATTGATAGAATGACAGATAGATAGATAGATAGGTAGACAGATAGATGAATGAATGAATAAATGGCAAATAGATAGATAGATGAAAATTAATTAACCAAATAACTACCTCCATGGAGCAGAGTCGTTATTGTAAACATAGCCACGAAAATACTCTCCATTTTGAATGCCTAAGGTTCATTATCTTGTTACAAAAATCCATCCACAAAACCTCTTTTTACTCCACAAGAATCCAATGCATACCCACACCCCTCATTTCACATGATCCTAGGTCCTCCAGCTGGTCTCTTGCATTCAGGTTTCCGAATAATAATTTTGAAGTAACATACAGTTTCCTTGGTAGGTCATACGTCAGCCAGCCATCCAGCTGTATGTAATAAGCATTTTCATATAATTGCTTTGCAATTCCATTCTCCTACTGTACAGTGGAAGTCACGTATTGCACTGAATTGTGAGCCTTGATTCAACGCCCACAATACTTCCGCGCCTAGCGATGTCACTTACGCTACTCAAATCCGTCAATAAAAATGTTACAACCGAAAGATTTTCCCAGTCCACCTTACATGGAGGAATGGGCGATATTATTTGGACAGAAATTCTAGAAATACCTATTCATTTTTTTAGTTTTCTGAGTTTTCTCGCTTTTTTTTTCTACTTAGATTCCTGTCAGGTGGTATTCACTTTTGGCCACTTCCTCAAGGCCTGAATTTCACACCAGTTTTAGAGTGACGCTTGCTGCTGCTGTTCAAAGGTAATATACATGTACGTATATAGACTTACACTATTTATCTCTCGTAAAGCGGCGAAACTGTGCAAAAGCTACACTCTTCTGAAATTATTGGTGTTCTTAAAATAAACAGGTTTATAGCTAAATTACCTATTTAAGTACATCAAGTGTTATTCACTGACAGGAAGGAACATTGATCAATTCTACCAAAGCCAGAGAGTTCTCAGATAGGTTCAGAGAATTCGACGACGACATCAATGTTGTAATTTCGTAAGTGATACTTGAGGTTATCACAACGATTTTCATTCATTACACATTTGGATTTTACACTGTATCGTAATGATTAAGTCGTCCAGACGACTGCGTGTTACTGCCATCTGTTCAAAGTATAAATTCGACACAACGCAACTCCCAACGTTTCTGTAATAATTAAACATGTTATATATATGAAGAATGTCGTCTTCTGGGATGTGGCGCCGTGTAGATGTTGTGTAAACCGACGTTTCAGAGAAACGTATCGCCTCCATCATCAGAGTATACAAATCCGCGAGCGAGAAAGCAGCGTGAGCGGTGGCCACACCACAGAAGACGGGAATTTTTCATAGTCACGGCCGTGAAAACCTCAAATCTTGCATTATACATATGTCTGAACAACTGAAGTGTAATTCTTGTGGTATCCATCCGAAACAACGCGGAGCTAACGTGTGTTGTACCACTGTAACACTGCAGAAGGAGTAACGGAAGCAGTCATGGTAGTTGAAAGAAAAACGTTAAATATATAGCGTTCTTTCGGTTCATTGATACTGTGTATCACAAATGGTCATTTCTATGTGATCCTTAACGAAACAACACAACTCACAATGGAGACATTCTCACCTGATTCATTCATGAACTTTGAGGTCGGCAGTCGAAAATAAAACCACATCTTGTTCCAAAGTTGTCTTTATTTTAAGCTGTTACATGGTTTAACCATCTCGGCGTCCCCATAGTATTTGAAGGGTTAAGTGTGATGATCAATATGTTCTATAATCACATTTTTTGTTTTCTTTTTGTCCATGAAAGCGCAATTCCTCTGTTATATTGCAGGAAGTCGACATTGACCGGTGTTCCTGAGGCTCAGTTGCTGGTGTAGGATCTCCACTGCAAGGAAAACAGTCGCCATAACGGTTCCTGCTGCCAACACGATTAGAATGGACATGACGTCAAAGATGTCAACGCTGTGCCACGTGGAGTCTGATTCCAGCGTTCTTGGTGGCCACGTGTGGGTGTGGAATCTCTTAAGAGAGCCGTCATGTCGAAGTTTTAATAAACTGAAATAAGATGCACATCCCTGCGTTAAAATATGAATTAATGAAGGATTATATGTAATGTTAGTAAAGGAAAAAATCATAACATAGGCCTAAAGGTGTATAATGAAAACAAAATTCTCCTTCTACTCAACTTAGCGCTCCTCCATGGAAATGTGTGAGTGGAGATACAGCAGCAAGAACACCTGATATCAACGCTAGATTGAGGTCAATTTCACGCCCCAGTTGCCTAATTCTCGTGAAGTAGGAAATTGGGTGGAGTCAAACTGGTTTGGGCGGGTTGGAAAAGACGAAACTTAGTGTCCCTGATGAGCATGGAACTTTGGTCGCCCATACGAAACCTAGTCACTACACTGAGTGAACCACCTCGGCTTGAGACAGATAAGTAAATAAAGCCTTAAAGGAGTGGAAGTTTTTAAATATTTGGAAATGACAGCGCAAAATCAAAAAGCACATGAAAGATATTCAGACGATGCCAAATTCGACAAAAGTATGCTGCCGTTCGGTTTAGAATCTTTTTCTTTTTCGTCTTCTGTCGAAAACGTAAAGATAAATGTATTCAAAACTATAAATGTACTTGAAGAATTCCATCTTCTGGGATGTGGCGCTGTGTAGATCTTGTGTGAATGGACGTTGCGGAGAAACGTATCGCCTCCATTTTCAGGGTAGCAAAATCCGCGAGCGACGAAACAGAGTGAGCAGGTGGCTGCAGAAGACGACATTCTTCAAAGTCATCTCTGTGAAAACCTCAAATTCTACATGTAAATGTACTTGTCTTTGTCTAGATATGGAACTTGGGACTCTCTCCTTCCAAAGGAATTATATACATTGAGGAAGTCTTGAGACGCAGAGTCGAGGAGAATATTTAGTCTAAATGGGAGGAAGTAAGGAGAACACTTCATGTGGAGATCACAATTTGCAGACTACAAAACATAATTAGCATGAATAAAGTAATGAGCACTACAAGGGCCCCGAGGATAGCAGAAAAGGCAGAGATGTGAAATGTACACAACAATTCAGTTAAAAAAGAACCCTACAGAGGTAGGATCTTTTTGAAAATCTAGGCATAGATTAAAGAATAACACTAAAATTGTCTCATAGGATTGTGACATAATGATTTGATTATTCTGCTGTTAGAAAATAGTTAGTCGAGGAGCTTCCATAAGGGGAGGGACTTTTATGGATGAGGTAATGAACATCGGGTTCTATAGAAGGCGGAAAATCTGTGATCAAAAGAGCGAGTGTTGACTTCTCAAGAAGGATTCTGCTCTATGGGGTTAGAAGAGTTAAGGGGCCATTTTAATCGAAGGAAATTGTTGCGTTCAGCTCCTGGATCTTCTTGTAAACGTGATTTCTTGAAACAGGCACACATACATATAATTTATGAACAGCTTAGATCATCTCGTTACACATACTTTATTGGTACTTATGATTTAGTATTTGGTCACCGGTATTTCAATGCGGAGTCCCGCGTTCAGTCCCAGGCCATCAATATTCATATTTACGGCGTACAAAGTGGCACTAAGTTATTTTTCTTCTTCAGAGTAGTTTCATCTTCTATTCCAATCACAATTCCATCACTGATCAAAAACTACTAAAACTATCATCAGCTACTATATTGCAGTATTTTAGACTGCGTTGGCTCGAGAATTTCTCAACGTTCCTTTAGGATTCTTATTTAAAGGAGGCTTTCTGATCTGTCAGTATGACTGAAAATGAGAATTACCTGATAAACCTGGTGGAAAGTTTCCAAAGCCAAATATTTTTTAACCATCGAACTCTTTACGACATGATATTAGGTTACAGGCAGACCGACAGACATGACTTTCAAATAAGAGATTCTTTTTTGTAAATAAATCCTATTGATTTGTCTGAGATATTCAAAATTTGGGAAATATAATGCTAATATTCTTACTTGTGATTGATGATGTCGAGGTAAGCGCTATTCTTTGCCACGGCCAATGAAAGATATTCTCTGGTAAATGCTTCTGGTAAAGGTACGACGTAGCAACTGAGGCTTTTCTCCGTGTAAGTAGCAATGAGACTCGATGTTACGAATGCATACTTCTTGTTCTCACAGACTTTATTCAAACCGAAAATGGAGTTCGGTGGGAGATTATATCTCTTATGGGCAATGAATCGGCTATAAACTTGATGTAAGATAGGATCTGTCGCCTCCTGAAAGCAGGCAAATGTACATTAATTTTGACAAAAAATATACTTGTCTAAGTCATTACAAGAAACATAGGGAAATAATTTTATTCAGGCATGAAGTTTGATAGGGTAAAAATGCGAATTTTGGTTAAATTTATAAACAGGTGTCCACAAAATAAAATTTATCTCTTTAGTACATCATTATCCTTTCCACTGTTAGACCTATCGAAATTGAATATGATTTGAATTGAACTTTGTGAATATGAGTATTATGAAACAAAATCCTCCAAACGTTTCAGAGGTCTTCTCAAATTTCCTATTCCTTTAATTTGGTACTTTAGAATATTTTCTGAATCCCTGTCACAACTCATCTATCAGTATGTTCATTTCTGTATTATTAATAGTGTAACGGATTTTGCCAACACGTTACCAGGGAACAGCCCTGTAAACACGGTCCAACATGCAACAATAAAGGAAGCTGTATCCTCTTTGTCCGCGGTGACGTCACATAAGAGGTCGTGATCACGTGACACATGTATCCTGTGATGCATGTCCGTTCCGCGGCTATATAAGTAAGAGTGCAGGAGGGTCCAAGGTCAGTTACGAGTGAGTAGTAGCGGCAGAAGCACACGAGCAAGTAAGTTGGTGGAGTACAACAGTAAGCTCTAAGCTAGAGAGCGAATTGAAACCAGGAGTACAGAAGACTACAAGAGGTCAACCTGTGAAGATTTCAAGTGTGCTTCGAAGACTTCATTTTTGCTGTAGCACAGTGATGGGAGTGTGTGGTTTAGTGAGACTTTTATAGCACATGTGTTATATACCAGTGAAGACTAGTGCAGGTAGACTGAAGATGTTAGTGTGGAGTGATTGTAATTGTATGAAACAGCAATAGTGCAATAATTAATTGTAGTTAGACCTGTTGTTAATACATCTAATTACCAATCCGAACCCCGTCTTTAGTCACCCATACTCATGATAACATGAATTGTGATATTAGTAAAATCTGTGGTTTAGTCTCCATTTCTTTCGTTTCTTCTGTGGTCAAAATGGACGATCTCATTTCTTCCTATTAAAAACATTTAGGAACTATCAGTCTTCTCTGATCTTCTTCTTGTCAATGATTTAATACCATAGCATAAACACTGGTGTATTACAAATTTTTATTTTTGTACGCCTATAAATTAACGATGGTTTGGAAATGTGATTTATACCTCACGTTTTACATTTTATATTCTTTGTTTGATTTTACTTTTACACAACCTGTTAAATCCAAATTGGTTCAATAGCATGATCACAGGATAAATAAACACGTAAATATAGAGTTAAGTAAATAAAGTTATTTTGTGTGTTATTTTCGGACGATCAAACGACTTAAAATATTTCTGCTGTTCTGATTATTTTATTTCATGGTAATTTTGATAGAATGTTATGCAAAAAAAAACAAAACAAAAGACAAAACTCACTTCAAATTCACTGAGCACTGCTGAGTTATTAACAACGCCCATTTCAAAATCATTTCTTTTCAGCATTTGCTGAAAGTTTTTGAATGGCAATGCGTTTGTCTGTACTGCCAGCGAAGAGACAAGGGTGGCTGAATAGGCAGCGCAGAGGGTGACTGCTGTGAAATACACTCCAACATACACCAGTCTGCATGACATGGCTCCGGGAACGGCCTCTACACCTATTGAGAATAAATAAAAAGACTGGACATAAAGTAACCTTTGTCGATAACTCCACACTCACAGTCTTTACAACGATCTTGAGCACACGTGTTACATAATTAAGCTATAATATATAGCGAGTAAATTTATATTATATTTCATATTAATTTATCTCAAACTCTGTTACTTTCTTTTGTGGATTCAGACATATTTAATTATTTAAGTTAATGTTAAAAAAAAGTTCAGATTTTATTTCATACGAACACAGAAATTAAAAGTTGTTCATCTGGGATTTGTGGTGGACAAACTGGCATGAAGCAGGTTTTCTTCTAGTACGTCACTTTTCCATGTCAATTCTCATTCCATAAATCACTTCCTATCCTTAATCATTCTTTGAATTCTCGATAATCACAGCATCGTTAATTAATAAACAACATTAGAAATTGGTGATGCTGAAGCTCTTACTTAAAATTCTTAGTTGCTGTCATACGGGTCGTAGAAGTGATGAATCCCCAGTTACGTCCGCAATAACTTGCAGACTTACACTGAACTACTCTAAAGACTCATATACGTGGTAGAGTCATTAAGTTCGTGGAATGTGGTTTTATCGCGTCATATAACAAGGTATTCACATACACTTACACAGATCCATATCGGCCATCAGAACAGTTGCCGCTGGCTGCTATGCAAGTCTGCCAACGTTGATATTGCTGTCGAAAACCTTGCTGAAACATATTGGCAGTAAAATCCCGTACGACGCTTAGCGGCCATTCTACGAACTTATTGACTGTGATAGTTCAATTCCTCCTAGTGAACTTGGTTTGATCTTCTTGTGACAATATTTTCTTTACATTCCAACGTTGGCTGAGGGATAGATAACGTGGGAAGTTTCAGGGGATGAAGATACAATGGACAATTGCAAAATCGGGAAATTCTATGGCTTCCCTACATCAATAAATATTTATGAATTCACAAGCAAAATCACTTTCTCTTTAAACAGTATCAAATGGCTTAAATTTTAAACACTGTTGAACCACTGTAATGCAGAAAGTTTATATTCATAATTAACTGAGTGGAAATGAGTCCCTCTTGATAAGCCAATATTTGCTCAGCCGCTCAAGAAATTCGCAGAATTTTATGGAACTCAAATTTCCACTCTGTCTGAAAGACCTAAATACTGGCCCATGCTCTGAGCCAAAGGAGTTAAATTCTTAGTTGCTATAACCAATAAGGCAGAAAGTCCGACTGAGCTGGTGTGAAGTTAAGGCGGTAGGAATATATGGAATGCAGTGTCTTGAGACCTGTTAGTTGTGCACTGACTGACTGATTTGCTGTAACTGCATTCACAATAGGTCAAAAAGGTGAATACAGCGTAATTCATGGGTCTCTTCGGAAATTCCGAACTCAACAGCGCAACAACCAAGAGCGACACCATCTCCAAGTTTGTTTGAGTAATAAGCATCATGGCGTACTGCAGATTTTATGATATATTGTGTGTATAATGGGGGCAGTCTACACAACAATACTTCTGAAAAATAAAATAGACACTACTGTATCAATATTTGTTTTATTTTGATGTTGACGCTACATGTTTCGGCCTTATATTTGGTTATAATCAGGAGTACAATGATACAAGTCATAGTTCTTGAATTGTATCTAATTCCAATATAGATCCTTTGAAATTATTGGAATTAGGTACAATTCAAGAACTAGGACTAGTATCATTGTACTCCTGATGATGACTCAATGTAAGAGCCGAAACATGTAGCTTCAAAAGCAAAATTAAACAAATGTTGATACAACAGTGTCTATTTTGTTTTTCAGAAGTACTGTGTATGCTGCCACAATTATGCTTGCAGGTTTCACCGCTAGGGGGCAGTAGTGACAAAACATGGCCAGGACAGAGGAAAAGAAAGCGTTATGTATCCAGGAATTTGCCAAAACTGAGATAATTATCAATTATAGATTAATTGGGCCTCGTTTATGGGACGATTCGTATTACAAGAGACGAAAGACCTGGTTGGATGATTTAATCATACATTACGATGTCATTTTCCACATATAATTGCTACAGTGTGAAGACATGATTGAGTGAAAATTCTGATGAGAATTTTTATTTCTTCTCTCTGTGACTTATTTCCCAAGGACGAGAACAGGCAAAAAAGTGTCAGAAAGTGGTTATGTTTAATTCTCTTCAAAATGTACTGTACGAACTACTTTTTTATTTTTTCACTCCGGGCGTGCTTTTACGCAAGTCGAAATGCAGACGGGCATGAAACTGATGTAGCAAGGTGACTCGTACCCAATTTACTGTCACTGAAATAACAACCGATGCCTTCTAAAGGAACCTCAAAATCTGGCCCTCTATCTTCAGATAGTCTTGAAATAAAAACCTAACCTGCAGTAAAATACTTTGAGAAGAATTTTCAAGATATTTGGGATAACGGTATCCTGGGAGCACCGGAGATATCTAGCCACATAAAAAAGAACGGAATATATTCATTCTAATCTAATGTTAGTTAAATCGAAACAGAAGGGGCACAGGCAGTTATGCACGCTATATTAACATATCGGTAGCTACTTGACAAACGGGACTCCAATATTCAAGTTACAAAGAAATAATTTACCTACTTTTGTGTTCTAGCAATAGGCATTGCATTTTAGCAAGATACACAGTCGTAGGTAGCTTAAATGTATATTACAGAATTTTATTCACAATTGTGACATCTTCAAAGGTTTTATTATCCAAATAATTATGAACTTTATATCTTCTATCTATTTTTGTTCCTGTTGTTCCCACTTGGAAAAAAAAGGGCACCCGTGAAACGTTTCTATTCACGTCAGTTTCTTAACCTTAGACAGTCGGTAGGACTCCTTGGACGAGAGACCAGGCCGTCGCAAGGTCGCTACCTACACAACACAGCACTAACACTTAATAAACGTAGACAAACATCCATGCCTTGAGTTGGATTCGAAACTACGATCCCAGTGTTCGAGCGAGTGAACAGTTCATGCCTTAGACCGCGAGGCCACTGTGATGGGGAACTCTATATACACTTTTAAATTTAACAAAGGTAACAGAAAATTATGTGCTTTGAGTCCTACCTTGCTGGCAGAAGATTGAATAAACATGAAGAAGATATCTGAAAGCACCATAGCGGCGTCTACTCTCTTCATGATGTTCGAAGCTGCGGATGGCTGCGAGACAGAGGGACATTGTGAATATCACAGCTATCGCGGTGATCCATAGTTCTTTGCTGAAAGGGGCCAGGAAATCCTTCAAGTCAAAATCTCGAAGCTCTATCCAACGAACATATACGGAAACGCTGAAAAAGTAATAGAAAATTATGTCTTCGCCAGTTTTCGCTTTTGCACTTGTGCCTTATGGACAGTGGACTTATAAGATTAACTTAAAATTTCAGAAGATTGTCGTAGATTTCATATAAACCTACGAAAATAAACCTTGCACTGGCATGAGCAATCTCAAAGTTTTCTTGTAGTTAGCGCGTGTTTGTGTGTTTATAACTGATAGCGCCTTGATCTGATAATACAAATTATTAACTAATATTCAGTTCGTAGATTGATTTTAATGAAACAATCACGCGGATGCTACAAACACGTGACTTAAACCCCTTTTCACCTCTTTTTATGGGCCTCGTGAAGGATTACTCTCTTAGCCTGGGGCCACACGAGCGTAAGAAGTACGTCCATTGCAACGAACGTACTTTATGACGGATGCTGCTGAGGACACCACACAGTTGCAGAATGCTGTGCGTATTTTTTTGTCTGCAATGGAGCCAGAAGAAAGTGTAGCATTCGCCTCTCTTTTTTTTTTCTATAACGGACGTCACGACGTTCGTTACAACGGACATATTTTGTGCGTTCGTGTGTTCCCAGCCTTATGCTTACATTGTTAAGCTGAATTCAAGTGCAGAAGGTTTACATTACATGAGCTATGCAAGAGAAGAGAAATAGCCTATTGTTGGGGATTCTGCAGTATTATGAAAGGACAGTACATGCAAGACTTTTAAATTTTGGGAGCATATCCTGCCAATTAATGACATTTCTCTTTGTGCATTGAAAACGACCAGAGCAGTAGCTTATGAAGTCACTGAAGAAGTTTCGACTTACAATAAATCTGAATTATTAGTTACGTTGTTCGAAGCTACAAAGTTAACCGTCATTAAGCAAAACTATATTAGTAATTTTGTTAACTTTGTAGTGTTTGTATAAGAGATTGAACTAAAAACTAAATTTTATTATATTTATACCATGCATCCTGTTGTGTGTCATATATAAGATATATAAGTACATGAAACTCATAAGAACAAACTATGGATCCAATGTTATATTTTAGCGTCCTGTTAAACTGATTAATATCCATGGTTTATGCTGACCGTCTTACAGTGTATACACTTTTTCACCTTATTCTTCACTTCCACACTACATGTTTCAGCACTAATGTGCCATCCTCAGGTGTCTTTATGCACGTTAAACTATTGTACTGCATGCCATGATGTCTTCATTCTAAAATGACTAAAATCTGTATTCGTCATATAGGTCGATGAATTCTAAATAATAAAACTTTTCAGGATTCATCCTACGTCGCACTCAAACACGCGAATTACGCCAGTCCTCTTTTATGTGAGCATTCTTCCTACATATATTTATGTATCGTGTTCTGTCTTGTGTTTTGCTCCTGTTACTGCATGTGTTGTACTGCATGCAGTACAATAGTTCAACGTGCATAAAGACACCTGAAGATGGCACATTAGTGCTGAAACATGTGGTGTGGAAGTGAAGAATAAGGTGAAAAAGTGTATACACTGTAAGATGGTCAGCATAAAGCATGGCTATGGATCCATATTAAATTAATACGTGATTTAGGAACTAATACTGTACTAGTAATCTTATACACCTGATGATGACCCAATATAAAGGCCGAAACCTGTAGCGTCAACGGCAAATAAGCAAATATTGATACAGTAGAATCAATTTTGTTCTTTTCCGAAATATTGTTGTGTAGATTGCCCCATTATATGTATTATGAACTTTATTAATATCATCGTCATCTTTACGCCTAAGCATGAAGCGGTCTCTACTCACATTTCAGCTGATCTTAACAATTGAATTCCACACAAAATTCTGTAAAGATAAAAGAAGTTAAAGCTATCCCTGCAACAGACCATGGAGGCCTATATGGTTGTGAGATGTTGACGGTCCCACATTATCTAGACTGTCTGCTCACAAATGGCGGTGAGGTTGTCAGTCTCAAGCGCCTGCCGCACTTTACTCCCCAGAAAAATTCCTGGTACTCATTTCTCTTAGAGGCTGAGTCGACCCCAGGGTCATAGTGCGGCTGGAAGGATTAGATCAATTGAAATATTCCACGTCATCGGAACTCGAACCCGCGAACTTCCTTCTTGTAGCACAGTACCTCAACCAACTATGCTACCACGTGGCCCACATAAAATTGGGTTCTCGATTATTTTATGACCGTTTACTGAGACATTTGTACACGTATTGCCAATATTATCTCCCATGAAATGAGGGCAATATAAGCAAAATCTACTTTAGTGCCAAAACATATCCAAACCATATCACAGGAGGAATCTGAATATCTTCCTGTCCCTGGAAATACATACACATGAAGGGATACATGAGGAGTAGGAATAAAGTTTCGCGTATACTTAACTTTGCGATAGATGAAAGTGACTGGCTTGTCTTCACCGCCTAGTCAGTTTGCCACCAGGGAAAGAACCCTCGGTAACCAATGATGAAACGTTTTGACTTTCACTATAGCAAGTCTGGACACAGTGATGACAAAGAGGGAATGTGTCCCTAACTGCGCATTAACCATAGTCGCCGGGCTCAAACCCGGTCTTTATAGTGACTGAATTTCCACGTAAAATATAGGAAATCGTTAGATTATGATTCCGGAAAAAGACGTAATAAATCCTGGTCTCAGCACATGTTATTAAAAATAAATTATATAAGAAGATGAGAAAGACACAGAACACTCGAAATTATCGGAGTTCCATACACGGACTCGGAGACTGGTACTGTGAAATCCACGGCTTTGGCCCGCTGCGTGTTCACGGTGAAGTCCCCGACAGCCACTTCTACATCACCACTCACGAGCAAAGCAATCATGCCTGTCCATGTACCATTCTTCGTGAGGGCTCCGTATGAATCTGCAGGCTCTCTCTTTAATTCCGTTCTGTAAAAAAGGCACAACAGAACACTTCAGCAACAAGGCTGACAATATTCGTAATAAAAAAAATCAAACTCCGTGGCTTGTAGTCCTGCAAACGAACTATACCGACCGAGCGACCGTCGCTTGTCTGCAAAGTTAGTGCCAAATTTTGTGGATGGAGTATGTCACATGGTCAGCGAAAAGGATCCGCACGGCAATTAATTTCGGTTTTCTAGACCTGAACCGCTGTTTCCTTGAAATAGCTCCTCAATTATCATCACGAGGCTAAGTGGACCCCGATCCAGACACAATACTTCATATTCATAGTAAATCACAAATAAATTGAAGCTTAATAATTCTGAAATATGACGCCTTACAGTCCTGCAGACTTTCACAGTCGTTTCGGTTTTAGACGAAGTTACTACTTCCATCTTCAGGGTTGAAGTCAAGGAACCAAACAACCAGCAAGAAGAACAAGCAACAAAAATAGCCGCTTAGAGTACTGTTTTACTTC